GTGAGAAGTCTCCTTTGCTTGGGCCTCTGGATCAAAGCCAGCCTTCCTCAGAAGCCCTCTGAGCCCAGGGCTGCCGCTTGGCCTGAGAAATTCCCCAGGAGCCTCTGGACTTGGCTTGCACTCTGGCCCTGGAATGGTTCCTCCAGGAAGGAGCCTCTGGTCATTCCCATTCTTGGAAGCTGCTGTTCCAGGGACCCTCTGGACACACTAGACCAACTTTTCTTGTGAGCCTTGAACCTTTCTCCCTTTACCACAACTGGGAACTAATTTTTCCAAAAGGCTCATCACAGCTCCTTTCTACAAAACAGCATTTTCTGGCCTCTTCTGCCCTCTGGGTCAGGAATCCCCGCTCCCTAGCCATAATTGTTAGAGGGTTTCTAGGGATTGGACTACATTTCCCAGGAGGCTCTGCGGGTACAGCTCCGTAAGCGCTCAGGCAGGGGTGCCCCAGGGGCTGCTGGGAGTTGCAGTGCGGTCTTTCCCCTTACGCTGCACCTCCCTTGCCCGGCAGTATGGAACCAGTGCCCACGAGTGGATGCTCCCGGTGTGACGCTGCGGACGGTGCGCCACCACCCTCGGACCTACCCACGTGTAGCGTTTCGTCCCGGTCAGTCCTCGTCGCCTTCCCACCAATGACTCACCTCAAGTGCAATGTGAAAGGCCAAGTGCGTGGCGCCTGGGTCTCGGGCGCCCCCGCGTGGTCGCTGCATCCCAAAGCCATAAGGGCGGGACCCAGGCGTCCCGACCCCTTAGCCCGATGGGCCCCTAGCTCCACGCGGGCCTCGGGGGACCTGGTCCCCCTCCTGTCCAGTGCTATGGGTCAAGACTCTGCATCTCCGTTCTCTTGCCGGAACCCCCGGTGCTGCCGTTGATTTTAGTGTTTTGTGTTTTATTTCTTCTTTTATGCTGCAATTTTCAAATAAAATGCCAAAGATCAAGACTTGAGTTTGTCGTCTCTGCTGATGCGACCTGAACAACGGGGGTCTTCGCCAGGATGCACGTCAACCTGTTTCTTTTTTTCTTTTTTTTTAAATTTTCTTTATTAAATGATATTTTTTCTTTATTTTTATTGTATTATTTTTTACATGTACCGTCAAATGAGATCTGACTGGTACAGGAGGAGATTGCCCCCTCCTTCTCCAGCAGAGCATCTGGTGGATTTGAACCGCGTACCTCTGGGATTGCAGTGCTGTGTCTTGCCACTAGGCCACCAGAGCTCCCTTCAACCCATTTCTTTCTAAACACCAAAACCAAGAGCTTTGCTGTCAGGCCCATCATGACGTTTTTGACCCTGCAGAGACAGTACGGAGTGGGCCCCAAGCCCTTCCAAAGCTGAAAGGCTTAATGGGCTCAGACTGGCAACATGAGATCTTTCGGTTAATAGTTATTAGGGCCCTTGGTTCCTCTCTCAGGGAGTTTAACGTCCACCACACCCTGCCCTCATCTGCTCCTCCCAATGTCCCTGACTTAGATACCATCACACCATGCACCCAGTTCTTCCTGGCCCCTGACTCTGCTCTCTCAGCCCTGTCCTGTTCCTTCTAACCCCTCCTGGGCCCTAAAGGAGTCTTTCAACACCCAGATCTTTCCCTGCTTCAGCCCTGCTCACAGCTTCCCTATGTTGCTGTTAGGTACCCTCAAATGGGAAAGGCCTCATAGCTAACCCTCCCGTGGGTTTTCAGACGCTGTAAATTGCACAAGAGGAGAGTGCCCATCTTTCTTCCATGAAGCAGCTGGTGGATTTGAACTGTCTACCCAAAGATAGGCTGCACAACTCTACCCAATGGGTCACCAGAACTCCCTGACAGCTTCCCTGTGGCCCTCCCTGCCCAACACCCCACTCAGAGGAGACGGACATCTAGAAGTTTCTGAAATCTGTTGTGAACGGTCAGAAATTTGCCCCCATGCACAAGAAAATAAAACTGCCTAGGCCTGAACTTTCAAGTTGATCGGAGGCTGATAGAACCACAGGTTCTACATGGGCTGGTTTTAATAGGTTGCCAGGCCTTTCTTCCTAGTCGGAGACTGGAAACATCATGACCCAAAGGCCTCTGCTTTGTAGAGGGCACTGGCTGGGTACCAGCTGCACTGGGCAGGGGCGGAACCCAGAGTTCTATCCCTGAACTAGCATTCTCATGTATCTCAAATCTCTTTGTGTGTTTTAAAAAAATTTTTATTTTTTATTATTTTTGTGTGAGTGTACTGTCAAATCAGATCTGACTGATACAGGAGGAGATTGTCCCTCCTTCCCCGGCAGAGCATCTGGTGGATTCGAACCGTGTGCCTCTGGGATTGTAGTTGCAGCTCCTTGCCACTAGGCCACCAGAGCTCCCCTTCAAATCTCTTGTTGGGTGCTGTCAAGTCCACACCAATGCATTGTGACACCGTGTGACAGATTAACACGACCTCAGAGACCTTTCTTGGCCATCATCGTGACAGAGGCAGGCGGCTAGATCTTTCTGCTGAAGAGCTGATAGGTGAGTATGAACCACCTACTTACTTTGTGGTTCACTGCTAAACCAGTGCGACACCAGGGCAATCCCCTGTGTGATTAACATCCTCATACTGTGCTCATCTTCCCCTCACTGAGGCTGTAGATCTTAACAGAAGCAGATTGCCTCGCTGCCTTTCTCTTGATGAACAACTGGTGGGTTTAAACTGCTAACCTTTTTGTTCACCACCCAACACTTATCCTACTGTGCCAACAGGACTTATGAGGCCAAGGAGAATCAAGGGGGAATGTACTGGAGTGTTGCTGTCTGGCAGTGAACAGCGACACCATGATAGGAGTAAGCACAACAGAGACACACCACTCTAGGAGCCATTCAGAGAGTCGATCCAGCTCAATTTTTAAAAAAATTGTGTGTGTGTGTGTGTGTGTGTGTGTGTACCGTCAAATCAGATCTGACTGATACAGAAGGATATTGTTCCTCCTTCTCCAGCAGAGCACCTGATGGATTTGAACCACGTACCTCTAGCGCAGGAGGGGAAGACCCTCTATGAGATGGACTGATTCAGTGACTGGGGTAATGGGGGTAGGTATATCGGAGACAGAGCAGAGTTTAGGGCTGTTGTACATAGGGTCGCTATGAGTCGCAAGTGACTCGATGGCACATAACAACCACCACCACCTCTGGGATTGCAGTGCAACTTCTTGCCACTAGGCCACCAGAGCTCCCTGGTTCCAGCTCAATTTTATTGGGGGCTGCAGCACACTTATATACAAGCAAGTAGACAAGAAGACAGGATAGGGTTGGGTTTGCAGACATGGGACATGCGGATTGGATAGGAGAACCCGTCCTTGTGTGGACCACTCTCAGCGCAACAGATGAGGCAGCTGTCTTCCCAGATGGCGAGCTTTCTGGAGCCGGTACAGCCAAACACAGGAGAGCTTTCTCTACCCCATATTAAAGCCCGTTGGGAGGCTTGCATTTATCCAGAGATTGGGTGATCTGTCCTGGCCAGAGGCCCTCCCTGTCTCCCCAACATTCCCCAACACTGGAGGCCTCTGGGAACACTTTGATTCGCTGGGAAAGAATCCAGGGGTCTCCCTCTTCTTCCCTGCTTGCTGGACTGTGCTTATATGAGGGTGTGATGGTCGGAGCTGCTGCAGCCGTTTTGTGCCCGTGAAGAGTGTGGTGGCCCCTCACATTGAGGGAGGCACGAAGGTGAGAAAGTCAATGTCCTTGCATCCTGAGATTCCCCATCTCTGGATGTTTTTACTTAAAACAATTAATCAAAATAAAACACAAACGTTAAGCTACTTTTGTAAGCTTTCTCATGATTTGTAGTGTGTTAATTTCATTTTCTTGGGCCCCTATGATACTCAAATCCTCTTTCTGGGGCTCCGTGGCCTGAGCTGTGTGCCCAAGGAGGGTTCTTATTTAAAGAGTAGCTGGGTTAGATGCTGACCTGAGACTGTTCCGAAATGGAGAGCTTCCTAATCTTTTGGCTAACTACAAATTTTATAACCTTTATTTCTTGATCAATAGTGTAAGAATATAATATCTTATATTTTCAGATAGAAAAAATAAGTTGTTGTCAAGTGCCATCGAGTCGCAGGTGACTCCTAGCAACCCTATGAACAAAAGTCCTGGATACTTCCTGTATCACTTTCGTCCTTTCTCCAGGTTTATAGGGTTTCCAGAGGGAAGTGATTATGGAAGTGGATGCCGCTCCTGCTTCCAAGATCAGATAGATTAGACAAATGTAAAGGCAATATACCCGTTCGAATCCACCAGACGCTCTGCAGGAGAAGGAGGGGCAATCTCCTGTACTCATCAGATCCGATTTGACGGTACACACACACACACACACACACACACACACACACACACAAATAAATAAAATAAAATTTAAAAAAAGCAATATGCCCAAAAAGGGGTTGAGTAGATATTGTATTTCCATTAATTATATTGATCAGTGGTAATGATTTTTTGTAATGATTTTTAATGGCTGATAAATGATTGAATGAAAAATAAATAGTATTCGTATTTATGCAAATAATAATAAAAACTTTAAAAAGAAAGAAAGCAAATCAATGACGTTTTAACAAAGATCTGTCTTGTTTGGCAGTTGAGGTGGGGCTGTTTGCACGCGGTCCCTGGTCTGGACTGTCTCCATCCCTCAGTAAACTACGTTTACTTTTCCTCAAGCTGACTTTGAGACTTGGCTCTAAGACAATTCCATTAGATGAAAAAATAGGAGAAAGTAAAATTGTACTGAGTGATGAGAAAAACGGAATATTTTAAATAACCAAACCCAACTCACTGCCCTTGGGCTGATTCTGAATCACAATATTCCTTCTTCGCATTTCTGAGGCTGTAAAGAATTATTTATTTAATATGAACAAAGATTGCTCATTTTACTACAGTGATTCGAACTGCTAACCTTTAGATTATCAGCGACCAGAGCATCCGGGCTCGGCGCTTCCTCTAGATAACGCACCTTTATCGCCATCTAGCGGTCAGTATTGGACATAAACTGTCAAAGCCCAGAAGAAGAGAAAATGAATCCAATTTTGGAAACTTAAGTCGTTAGCGTGGGAACCACAGCATGGATTTGGTGGTAGGTTTTTAATCTTTTCTGTGGGGGTCCTGGAGTCGATTCTCATCCAATGTACCCATTTGTCACTGGAGACTCTGGTGGCCTGGGATAAGGAGATATATTGTTAATCTTAAAGCACTGGTTCAAATACACCAGCACAGGATGAAGGTGGTCAGTCTCCTCCTGTGTGATGTATTAATGTTATGAGCTATCGAGTCGCCTCTGACTCATAGGACCCTATGCACGATAGCTCTGAACCCTCCTATCTCCAGCCAATCTCACTGTCTCTGACAGACCTACTCCCACTGCCCCACTTACTGTGCCAATCCGTCTCATTCAGGGTCTTCCTTTCCTGCACCTGTCCCCTCCATCCTTCCAAGCATGATATCCTTCTCCAAGGACTGGTCGCTTCTGGCCACCTGCCCAAAGTATGTGAGATGGAGCTTCAAAATTCTAGCCTCCAAGGACTAACTTGTTTTCACCCTCTCCAGGACACACTTATCT